AAATCAATGATTTTGGCCTTTTCGGGCCTTCCTGGAGGCCCTCTCGGTGGCCTCTTGGGCTGTCTTGGGCCATCTTAGGGCCACGCTCGGCCGTCTTGTTGGGCTCCTGGTCCGTCTGACGCCGTCGGAAGCCGTTTGGGGGGCCTCTATGGGCTGACTTGGGGCCCTCTTGGAATGCTCCAGGGCCGTCTTGGAGGCCATCTTGGGAGTCTTAAAGGCCTCCTGTGCCGTTTTGGGGTGGGGGCCTCTTGGGGCCGTCTTGGGGCCCTCTTGGGCCGTTCTGGGGCCATCTTGGAGGCCTCTTGGGCGATCTTTCGGCGATCTTTCGGGGCTCTTGGGCCGTCTCGGGCCGTCGGAAGGCCAAAAAGAAGGAAGTGCCAACATCCGTCAAAAACCTTAGGTTTTTGGCCTCTTCTGGCCTTCCTGGAGGTTCTCTTGGGGGCCTCTTGGGCTGTCTTGGGCCAGCTTCGAGCCAACTTCGGCCATCTTGGTGGGTTCCTGGCACGTCTGACGCCGTCGGGAGCCGTCTTGGGGGCCTTCCTGGGCCGACTGGGGCCCCTCTTGGGGCGCTTCGGGGCCGTCTTGGAGGCCATCTCGGGCGCCTTGGAGGCCATCTTGGGCGTCTTGGAGGCCATCTTGGGCGTGTTGGAGGCCTCTTGGGCCGCCTTGGGGCCCTCTTGGGGCCGTCTTGGAGGCCACTTGGGCCGTCATGGGGCCCTCTTGGGGGCCTCTTGGGCGATCTTGGGGGCCTCTTGGGCTGTCTTGAGCCGTCGGAATGCCGAGAAGAAGCAAATGCCAAAATCCTTCAAAGACCGAAGGAAAATCAATGGTTTTGGCCTCTTCGGGCCCTCCTGGAGGACCTCTTGGCGGCCTCTTGGGCCGTCTTGGAGGCCTCTGGGGGGCCTCTTGGGCCGTCTTGGGCCGTGTTGGACTCTCCTGGGCCGTCTTGGAGACCGTCTTGGACCATCTTGGGCGGACTTGGAGGCTATTTGGGGCCATCTTCGCGATTTTTGGAGGATGTCCCGAGCGAAACGGCCGTTTTAGGCGTTTGCAACCGGGTCTTCCGGGTGGCCGGCGGGACCCGGAGCCCCAGCGGGAGTTCTTGTGGAAAAAGAACCAAAACCCAAACCGATAGGATTTATCACGCCAGGCACCCCTTTGATAAATTAAATGGGGGCGGCGGATCGAGTGTCCTTCGGCTCATCCCGCCAACGTGCCTGGGTTGTGGGTCAGAGTCCTCGTGGATGCTTCTTGGGGTTTCGTCGGAGGATTGTCGGTTCCTGGGGGCAGTTTTGGCGCCACTTGGGGGCCTCTTGGGGTCTCTTGGGGACCTCTTCGGGGGGGCCTCATGGTGGCCCCATGGGGGCCTCTTGGGGCCTGTTGGGTGCATCTTGGGGGCCTCCTGGGGGCCTCTTGGGGCGGAGAGCTCGAAACGGCGGTTCGTGTTCCCCCCTCTGGGATCATTCTTATGGCGTTCTTGGGGCCTTATTGAGCCGTCTTGGATGTTTCGGGTGCTTCTTGGGGGCGTCTTGGGGCCTGATTCGGGCCTCTCGGGGCCTGTTGGGGGCCTCTTGGGGCCTCTTGGGGGCACCTCGCGGGCCTTTGCGGGGATATCTCGGGGCCATCTTGTGTTTCCTCTCTAGGGCCCCTCTCGGGACTGTCTTGGGGCCCTTTGGGGCCGCTGTTAGAAGGCTCTTGATGCGTTTCTGGGCGTTTTTGGAAGATCTTGGGCGCCTCTTGGGCCGTCCTGGACACCGTGAAGACCGAAAGCGCGGTAATGCGAACACTGCAGAACCCAATGTATTTTGCACTATTAGCCTCCTGGGCCGCCCTCCAGGGCCTCCAAGACGGCCCAGGAGGCACCCAAGAGGGCTCCAGGACGGTCCTCGGGGCCATTTTTGGCCACGTTTGAGATGCACCTCCCGAATAACGCGCACCATATGAGGTTTGCCATTCTGTCAAATCAGGCCACGCGGGCGACTTGCGCGCGCGCGCGCAGGTCGAAAACGTTGCACCACCGTCGTGCGCCCACTAACTCTGGCAAATGATACCATGCGGGCCACGCGTGCGCGTTCCCGTGAGGGCACGTCGACATCCGTCGCAAACCATTGGTTTTCTATCCAGTCAGCACAGAAGTGTCCCACACGATTCGGAAACCCAACGGCTTTCAAAACAAGCATGAAGCGGTGATTGGATTTCCGTTGGCGAGCGCTTTTCATGATCCTCATCAGCGCACTCGTTATCATCATCAGCGTTATCATTGCTATCGTCATCATCACCATCACCATCGTCGGTATCATCGTCATCGCAGTCATCGTTGAAGTGGTCGTCCTCGTCAAATTTCTGCTCGCGGGTACATCATCATCATCATCATCATCATCATCATCACCATCACCATCACCATCACCATCACCATCATCATCATTGATCATCATCATCATCATCATCATCATCATCATCACCATCACCATCACCATCACCATCATCATCATTGATCATCATCATCATCATCATCATTACCACCATCATCAGCATTGTCATCATCATCTTCACCACCATTCATCATCATCATCATCATCATCAGCATCATCATCACCATCATCATCATCATCATCATCGTCGTCGTCGTCGTCATCATCATCACCACCATCATCATCATCAGCATCATCATCATCACCATTATCATCGTCGTCAGCATCATCATCATCAGCATCATCATCATCACCACCATCATCATCATCATCATCATCATCGTCATCGTCAGCATCAGCATCATCATCAGCATCAGCATCAGCATGATCATCATCATCATCATCATCATCATCATCATCAGCATCAGCATCAGCATCAGCATCAGCATCGTCATCATCATCATCATCACCATCGTGATACATCGGCCCAATGGCAGTTTTTAAAATTTTCGTCACATCGCTCGCTCGCGGAAGCCGACGGAAGTGACACGAGGCGGAAGACGGCGGAAGGCAGTCGAAAGGCTTGCGGAATACAGCGGGAGTGAACGACGCCCCGTCCGAGCCCCCCTCTCCCCGTAGAAGCCGAGCAATGTAGTCTTCTGCCGTGGGCTGGGCGGGATCCCGCCTAACTTACTTCCCTTTAATCTTATCATTTTAATTCAGCCAGGCCAAAATCCCACCCAGGAAAGAATAGGGTACACAAATACCCCTGGTCGTTCAAGGATCCCGCCATATCAGGATCGGCTCGAAGTAAGTTTGGGCCCCGAAGTAGTGGCATTCTTGGCGTTTCAGGGTCGTCTTGAGGTCATCTTGAGATCACATCTCGGTCATGCTTGGATCGCGCAGCCGTCGCGTGTCCATTCTGGGGCCGCCCTGGGCGCGCGTGGATGCATCTTGTTGCCATCGGGCCATCTCGGCGTCACGCGTGGCTCCATTGTTTGGTCATCTTCGGGTCGGCCTGAGACGGTCTAGAATCCATGGCTGGCGGGATCATGTTGGGGTGGCGTCATCCCAGGGTCGGCTGGACGTTATCGCCTTTGGCCTCAGGCCCTCTTGGAACCATTTTGCGGCCATGGGGGCGTCTTGGGATCTCGCGCGCGCAAGCACCCAGCACGCGCGCGCGCGACAACTCATCTCGCCGATGGGCGTACACACATATTTCTGGTTGCGAGTTTCCAAGGAAACTTTTGTTGGAGCCAAGTAGCCATGGCCAGCATCATCGTTACCACCAATTCTATCATCACCATCAGCTTTCTTACTATCATCGTCGTCGTCGTCGCCGTTTATCACCATCAGCATCATCGTCATCACCACTGGCATGTCCATGTTCGTTGGCGTTGTGGTCAGTACCATTGCCACCACCATTTCGCGACCTGCAGGATGGACTTGTCTGCGCGGTTGGTTTCAACGTCGCCCGTGCGCTCGTTGAGATCATGGCCATGTGAGATTTGCCAGTAAGTTGCGGCTGAGAGGGTGGGATGTTTGTTCGGGCACTGCAGTCGACGATCGCAAGTTCCACCGGCGAGTTGGACCACAGATATCGCACCGCATACATTGCACCTCGCGGCCTGCACCACATAGCCAGCACCGATAATCTGTGTTTAACAGCTGTTTAGAATCATCAGCTCCTGGAGGGACTCTCTGCTGCCGTGTTGGGACCGCCTGGTCCCTCTTGAGCCGTCTTGGGGGTCTCTTGGACACTCTGGGCTGCCCCTGGGCCATCTGGCGCCTTCGGGGGCTTTCTCGGAGGCCTCTGCGGGTCGTCCTTGGGGCCCAGTTTGGAGCTGTTTTTGGCTGGTCTTGGGTGCCTCATGGGCTTATCTTGGACGCTCTTCAGGCTGAGGCGAGGACGCGAGAATCAGTCAAACACCAACTGGACAATGTTGTTTGTCCTCTAAGACACCCATCATTAGAGCCCTCTTTGGGGCCATCTTGATCCAGCGAGGCCACTCGGGCCATCTTAGGCAGTCTCCGAGTTTACATCGGCCCGTCTTGGCCATCCTGATTGATTTATCTGATTGCTCATGCGAACCGTGTTTTGTAAGCCCTTGGCCGACTGCCTGCCAGCCGCAGGCTGTCAAGCAGCAGCCGTTGCAGCAATCAACGCCCCCCTCGCTCGACATTCGTGTCGCTGCAGCGTGCAGTCCTTGGTTCGTGTCCACCTTTCCCGTGCTCAGCGTACATTCTGAAGAGTAATTTGCAGCTGCCGTCGCAGCTCGCTCCATTCGATCGCTTGCTTGCTTTTCCCGTTCCTCCGCCCTCCTCAGCCCTCCTCCTCCTCCTCCTCCTCCTCCTCCTCCTCCTCCTCCTCCTCCTGTGCATTGTGCCTGGTTTGGTGACGTGTAGTTGGAGCCTGTGTGCATCAGCTCAGGCATACAACTTTTTATCGCTGCGCTGTCTGCTTCCTTGGTGTGCTCCAGTTCTGCATCGTCTCTCCCCACGCCCTGCGGGGTGATCTCCTCGCTTGCTTCGTTAGCTGAGAAAACAAACAAGTACATTACGAATGAAGTATACGGGCCCCTCCTGAAGGCTCCACGCCGTTGCGCACGCCGAAGCAGCAGAACACCGTCCTGATGGAGGCGCAGGACAGACACGGCTCACGCTTCCCCCCCCTCAGCGCATCACTCGTCTAGGCAGTGCAGCGGTTGGAGAAGGAAAAGGATGAGACGATGACGAGGATGAGAAGGAGGATGGGGAATGGGGGTGGGGGATGGAGGAGAAGGATCCTGCAGGGCTGGGCCAGGTCGGGTGTGATGGCTCTGCCACACGCGGATGACGTCTGCGTGGCACTACTGGCTGGGGCCACGTCACGGCCCATGAGCGAGTCGGCATATCCTGGGGTACACCTTAGGCGATGCTTAAGAAAACTTAAGTTTTCGGCCAGAGTCTCGATAATTCCTAACGTTTCAATGTAAATCTTAAGATTTGAATAGAAATGTTGGGTTTTTATTCAAGTTCTGAGACTATGAATTTCTTAACCCATGATTTCTTGAGCATTTCGCAGGGTGTAGGGGCCGTTCCCGCCCGTGGGCGCCCCGTGGGTGCCCCGTGCACTGGGAGGGTCCGCCCAGGTTCTGCCACGTCCCCTCCCGTGGGCGCCCCGTGGGCGCCCCCGTGGGCCCCTCGCGCCCCAAGGTGGGCTCGCCGAGGCCTCGCCACGCTCCCGCCCGCGGCCGTGCGCGGGCGCCTCGTGGGCGGGTCCGCCGAGGCTCCGCCGCGTTGTCGCCCGTGGGCGCCCCGTGGGCGCCTGGGGGGCGCCACGTGCCGAGGCTTCGCTGCGTTCCCGCCCGTGGGCGACCCGCGGGGCCTCGTGAAGCCGTGTGTTGCACCGCGTAGCTTGCACCACGTGGCTCACGCGGCATAGCTTGCTCCACATAGACTGCACCACCTGGGCCGCGCCGCCCGTTTCTATGCCCTGAGTGGGTGCATGTGCGGCCGCCGTTGCCCTGGCATGTGCGTGGCATGTGTCCCGCCTGTGCCCAGCATGTGCGGGCCTTTCAGGCTGGATATCCTGTTGTGCATGCGCGCCCGGACATGTGCAGGGTCACGTGCCTTGTGTTTTGTGCACCAGTTGTCTGCACATAGCCGCACGTGCCGACGCAGACGCCCGCTCATACTTGCACATGCGTGCGAACACCGCATATCATGTAGCGGCGCATGCACGCACATGTCTGCGCAACATTTCTGCAGATAACCGCGCGGGCCCGCACATGCATGCACATGAGTTGAATCGTGCGTCCACACATGCTCGCACATGTCGACGACCATGCCCGCAGATGCCCTCGGATTGACTGATTCTGGCCAACACCAGACCCTCCCCCAGAAAACGCAAAGTATTTAAATTGCAATAGAAAACGTACCACGCCGAAGTACGAGGACGAGACATGTGCCGTGCAGAAGTACGAAGTACAGAAGTTCAGAAATCCGAAGTGTGAGAGAAGTGACACACTCCTTTCGCACTTCGTCATATTTCTTCCGCATTCCTTTTTTTCCAACACTTCCCACTTCTCTTTTCTTTTGCCACACATTGTTTGCACTTTGGATGTGCGTTCGTGCTTTTTGTCATTTAGTTTCATACCCGTACTTCGCGTTGCACATATTTCACACTTGCGTTTCGCAGACCTCCCCTGGCTAGGTCGTTCGATCCGTATTTATTTTACACTCGTGCTATCGTGCCGTACGCGTTTGGCCAACTCGTTCGGAGTTGTTTGGGATCCCCAGAAGTGCCTCGTAGCCTTCGCAGAGCTTTCCGGGGCATGCCAGGTCTTCCCAAAGCTTCCCACTGCCCTGAAGGGCTCCAGGCTCCGGGCTGTATAGGCTTGACTCGCCCACTGCTGTCTTGGGCTGTTCTTCGCCCGCGGGTCACGTCTACGTGTCTCGCCCTGTGTCGTCGTCCAATGGCCGTGCAGAGCTTGTCAGCGTCTGCCCGTAAACAGATCTCCCGCGCGCTGTCTCGTCCCAGCCGGAGGAGGGGGAGGAAATATTGAGGAGGAAGGTGGGGGAAGGGAATCAGACGGAGGGGGAGGGGAGTAGAAGGCGGAGGAGGAGGAGCAGGAGGAGGAGGAGGAGGAGGAGGAGGAGGAGGAGGAGGAGGAAGGAGGAATTGCATGGATGAGGGCGAGGAGGACCAGGCGTTCGCAAATCGCGTTCTGGGCGTCATGCTGGCGAAGAGCATCCAGGGATAGGCAGGAGAAGGAGGATGGGGATGGGGATGGGGATGGGGATGAGGATGAGGATGGTGATGGTGATGGTGATGATGATGACGATGATGATGACGATGATGATGATGACGGCGACGACGATGATGATGCTGGTGATGATGCTATGATGATGATGCTGATGATGATGATGATGATGATGATGATGATGATGATGATGATGATGATGATGATGATGATGATGTGGATGATGCTGCTGCTGATGATGAGGAGGAGGAGCATGAAGAGGGAGGAGGAGGAGGAGGAGGAGGAGGAACAGGATAAAGGGGGAGGAGGGGGAGGAGGAGAAGGAGGAGGAGGAAACCCGTCCCGCGTGATACATCCCCAGAACTCTGGGTTCCGATATGCCTTGTCTTGATGTGGTCTGCCCCGATTCGTCTGGTACATCCTCTCAATGCTTGGCTCCAAGATGCGATTTTCGAAGTGTTCGGCATGTGTCGCGTGAGACATTTTCGGAGCTCTGAGCTCCGAGGCGCGTCGATCTCAGAACGCTTGGCCCGTTTTCCCATGGGACATCCCCAGAACAGGTGACGCAGCCAGTGCAGCACTGGCTTGGGGTCAGTTCGGCCAACGGGTCGTGGGAGAGTGACCCGATGCTGCCCTATGCGATCTTCGAGGAAACCTTCCAGGCGCGGGCTCGCTTGCGAGATGCTGCGGCTTAGGCACATCAGCGCGTTCAGCTGAGGTGGGATGCCATCCCATCCTGTCGCAGGGTGGTCCGGCGGCAATGCCAGAATCAGGTGGATCACCTTTAATTCACCGCATCTACAAATTGCCAAAGGATTGGCAGGAGTGGAGGTCGGAGGCGGCCCCCGCTGCTCCAAACCCGCCGTTGGATAGGACAATTGCTGAGCCGAAAGGGTCCTTTCGTTACAATTGGTCGTCGTTGATGAGACAATGGCCCAGTCTGGAGGACGTGGTCCGGGCGTTCCACCAGGGCCACATGGAAGCGCGGGGCAGCGACGAGGACGTTTCTTCCAACGATCCTTCCGCGTCCCTCCAGGACGGGTTGGACGTGCGGCGTGATGCGGACAAGGCAGTTGGCAGGGCCATGCTTGTCCCCGCCAAGGTAACGACTAGATGGCTTTGCAAGATGAAGACTGCCCTTGAGATCGCGGACACGGCCGTCGCCAGCACAGAGATAAAGCGCGTCGGCCTTGACGACAACCGCGTGCGTCTTGAGGGTTCCCGCTCCAAGGTGCGCGCAATATGTCATGCCAATACAATTGATGATGTCGTACGATGAGTTCAACGACTTCAGACCTCGCGTGCCCAAGCGCGTTCAGGCAGCGGGCGACGAACGCCATGGCACTCGTAGGCGCACGTCCTGGTCATCCACAAACCGCTTGACATTACCGTTGCGTTTTTTCCCCCTTGCGGAAGGTGGGTGAAGAAGTCGATCATGATGAGGCAGTGCTCTTTCTTCCTTAGACGTCGATGTATCAGGACTTCGAGGATACAGCCGTGCTCCACGATGGGGGCAAGGCCTCCACAACAAGTGCTGTTCCATGACGGGGACAAGTCGTGCTCCGCGTCTGGGGCGTGGAAGAAGAGGCCCCTGGTCATTGAGGTAACGCATGCACGAATACCAGAGAAGCTGGATTCAAGAGGTCCCGCATGGAATTGTTGGGGACGCGCAGATCGTCGGCCATCTCCACAGCAGGACTGCCTGCCACGGTCGGCCACCGGTGAGCTCGGCCTGTGCGAACGCTGTGCGTACCTGTGCGGGGCATGTGCGGGACGTGCAAAAATGTTGGGGCCGGGGGTCGTCTCCGCGCGCAGGCCGCGCTCGGTCGCCGCGTTCGCTGGACCGCCTAGCGCCCGCTGCCAAGGACGAAGGAGGGCAGTGGATCGCCATTTTTGAAAACGAAGCGGCCTGCATCCCCAACGGTGCAATCCCGCTCCAAGGCGACCAGCGGCCCCCTTCACTCATCAGAAGATGAGGTGAAGGAGGAGAAGGAGGAGGAGGAAGAGCAGGAGGAGGAGGAGGAAGAGGATGAGGAAGGGGAGGAGTATCATGATGGGGAATGATGATGATGTTGATGCTGATGCTGGTGATGATGATGATGATGATACTGATATTGATACGGATGATGATGATGACGATGCTGATGATTATGATGATGGCGATGATGACGATGATGCTGATGATGATGATGATTTTGATGATGGTGGTGGTGATGATGGTGATGATGATGATGATGGTGATGGTGATGATGGTGATGGTGGTGATGATGATGATGATGATGCTGATGATGCTGATGAAGATGATGATGATGATGATGATGATGATGATGATGATGATGATGATGATGATGATGACCTGCTGCTGCTGATGATGATGATGATGCTGCTGATGATGATGATGATGATGAGGAGGAGGAGGAGGAGGAGGAGGAGAAGGAGGAGGAGGAGGAGGAGGAAGATGAGGAGGAGGAGGAGGTGGATGAGGGGGAGGAGAAGGAGGAGGAGGATGAGGAGGAGGAAGAGTAGGAGGAAGAGGACGCCCCGCATGTGTGGCGCGGCCAGATGAGGAGCAGGAGGAAAAGAAGGGGCAGGAGGAGGAGTAGGAAAATGATAATGAAAACCAGGGCGTGGAAGATGAGGTGTGAAGGGCATCAGACGGACGGGGGTAGGGGAAGGATGAGGGCGTAGACGAGGACGAGGAGGAGCAGGAGGTTGCAATACGCGTCTTGGGCGGCATCGGCATGCTGGCGAAGAGCATCCAGGGAGAAGTGTTCTGGTCCGTTTCGCTTGAGACATCTTCGGGACTCTGGGCTCAGAGATGCCTTGGGTTGAAATTATCTGGCCCGTTTCGCCTTGGGCATTCTCACAACTCTGGATTCCAGTATACGGTTCTCAACGTG